CATACTATCAAACTGCTACCTAATACTGATAATGCTAACCCAAATTGAATTACTTCCAATGGAAATTAAACAAATGTTGGTCCAAAATGTGATTTCCCTATATAAACTATAGTAAAGTTTACCCCCTCCCCAGGGGGAAACGTGAGACCCCAGGGTCATGAAATTCACAATTTTGGTAAAGCACCTTAAGACCCTTCCATCTATGAAGAGTATTTGATTCTACCATATCTGGGTCTTGAGAAGAAGATTTTTGAAATTTTAGTCAATTCAACCCTTTTTGGCCCCGCCCCTCAGGCCCCTGGGGGCTTGGGACTAAACCGGCCACTACTTTTGTTGACCTTTGTCCATGGACCAGGTGACCTAAAAACTTACTTGTCCATTGTCATTGGAGTGACAAACAGTGGGGTATGCTGGTTTTGTGGCAGGGTAACTGAGTTCAGTTTCTTGCCAGAGAAGGCCTTCTGCCAGCTACCATGGATATCCAAAGAAACAGAGCTGGGAAGTTTGTGATGCAGCAGCAGAACAGCATCCTTCATCTTCTCCAGCAAGTCTCTCTTCTCCTGGCGGATCAGCATCACCAAGGTATAATCTCCTTTGTCAAGCTTCACATTATACTGTCAAAAGAAATCATTCCATGCTTAGTTTTGAGCCTTTAGACCAAGAGAGTTCAAATAGCTGTTGTGTGGAATTCGAAATATGTTGGTAATTAGAAGCCTTTATGGTCGTATCTATAATTTTATTTTGAATACACCAAATAAAATAATAATTTCTTGAACCATAAGAGGAATATCGATTATTAATTTTAATACTTATTTTGATACTGATTGTGCTTCTTCGCTTTACATTGGCCTGGGTAAAACTACAAATACAGTGTGAGCGTGGACAAAAGGATATAACCCCCTCACCCACTCTCTCCGGTTGCACTTGTTGTACTTACACTTGTTTTTGGAGCATAAAATAAAGTTTCAAATGCCATAAATCCAGAAAAAAAAATTGCATTGCACATTTTTTTCTTCATGTGCACTAACATATGATTTAGTTTCACTGTGCAAAGATATAAAAAAAATCTGACGTATACCAGTATTAAGTAAGGATGATTGCGCTTCCAAGATTTCTGGAGCAGAAATTTAAAGTTTCAAGGGTCATAACTCCAAATTCCTTTCTACATGCACATCAACATATGATGTACTTTTACAGTGCCATGTTAAGAAAAAGTCCAATCAATGGTTTAGGAGGAGTCGCGCTTGCAAGGATCATGAACAGACATCCGGACAGACAGAAAGACAAACAGATGGATGAACAGTGATTCCCATATACTCACCTAAACTTTGTTTGCGAGGGCTATTCCGTCTTTGCGTATTGCAGAGTTATCTTCTCTTGGGAGCAGGTATTGATTGTTACGTCATTGGTTTGTGCGAGAAAATTGCGTCGTTTTCTCAAAAATTGATGACGTTACTCTCACAAACAAGTGACGTAACAATCAATACCTGCTCCCAAGAGAAGATAACTCTGCAATACGCAAAGACGGAATAAATATCATGAAAACAATCTATTTGATGCACTACGTACCTGATGAGGGTAGGCATCTCCAGATCCCAGACACTGTTTGTTGGAGTCAAATATCATCCAGAACTGGCTCTCATAATCAGACTCATACAGAAGTTCACTCAACATGGCACACTCTGGCATCACTTCAACATTCTTGTCCTGTTTAAGAGAAATATATACATCTTGTATATATGGGGCAAAGAAGTAATTCCAACAGTGTGGACAAGTTTAGGTTGTCAAATTTTCGGAGCGATCTGCTCCTTTTTCAAGACACAGTGATATACATATACAAATTGCTGAATATATTTAACTATCCTGTATAACTATTCATTTCAAAGATAAATTTTTTTGCAAGGAAAGAAAAGCTGTCTTGACCTAGGATAGACATGCTTTTATACTGGAAATGTCACTATTAGAGGATTGTAATGACAGGTAAATATGATTCAAGGATAGAACGTGCCTAAACATGAGAAATAATTGATTTTGTCACAGAACTGTTGACATCTGGAATAGCCTGTCACCAGAGATGATGTTATCAAGAACTATCAGATCTTTCGAGACTTGCCTACACCATCACTGGAGAAACCAACCGATACTCTATATTTATAGAGAACACATTTTATTATCCATCCATATATAGTTAAATAAATAATTATCAAATTTATATTGTGAACACCAATTACTCTAATTGGGAATTTATGTATAATTTACTTTTTTCACCTCAACTATTCATGATTAATATTATTCAAATGTCCATGGTCTTGTCAGAATTGTTCAAACCATAGTGAGCTGACAGCAGAGGATTTTTGTAAGTCCTACAGTCAGAATAAAATCTGTGTATCTGTGTGTATCATCAAACACATCAGTAACATAACCATTGATGATAGATAGCATGGGTTCGAATTCACCCTTACAACTTGGAGCAATCTCTTTTTATGATATGAAAGTTTGGGAGAGAGATAAAAATATATCTAGAAGCTTGGTTTTCATTCCTGGTAAATAAAAATTTGATGTCTCCTATTTTCAGTAAATATTTGCTTCACACTTATTTGACCTATGACCTAGAGTTAACTCATAGTGACTTAAATAAAGTGCAATGCAGAATTTCTTTGGATGAAGCAGGCATTGTTCAAGTTTCTTAAATGGCTTAAAATTTACAGCCCGACAAGGTTTCACTTAAAATGTTGCATTTGGCTGACTTTTGACTTCGAGGTGAATGTAGTCATGACCTAATAACAATGTACTACCAGGTATGCATTTTCTATGGCTGATGCAGTTATACTACTGGTTTCATAAACAAGAGGCCCAAGGGCCTTATCGGTCACCTGAGTTATATCATAGGTACTGGTAGCTTTATTTTATTGTTTAGATGTGACGTGGAAATTAGCATGTAAACTAAGTGAAATACAATACTAATGTCATGTCATCCAAAGCTCAGGAGACCTAAAAATCTATAAAACAGTTTATACAATTTTTGGCATGCACAAGATTTTGCTGCAAATTTTTCACTTAATATACCAGACCTTTAAGTCAAGGTCAGTTTACTGCACATTTTCTGGGTGATGCAGGTTTACCTTACCGTTATTGTTTAACAGATTTTTATCTTATTACATGTTGCAATTTTGTATCTGCAGTCCTATATATACTTTTCCTATTTTCAATTGCTTATTTAAGTCATTGCTAGTATTGGCGACAAACAAAATATTTGCAGAGCTGTTCTACAATAAATTGTAACTCCAGATTGAAAAGATCAATACCTGACAAATTTGAGCTAACTTTCAATACTTTCAATACCATGTCTTCTTCAAACAATTAAGCTATTCCCTATGGATTCAAGTTTGTAGTGTTTTCTTCTGCTCGTGTATATTACATATAACTTACAATGTGGAAGTTGTATGAGAGTGTAATTATAATAACACATATCTGTATACGTAACACTTACAATATATTTGGAAGTTGTATGTGAGTTTAAATGTAACACATCTCTGTGTACTTACAATGTGGAAGTTGTATGTGAGTGTAATTAGAATAACACATATCTGTTTACTTACGATGTGGAAGTTGTATGTGAGTGTAATTAGTATAACACATATCTGTATACTTACGATGTGGAAGTTGTATGTGAGTTCTATACCATATATCTGACGATCTCCTGGTAAGGTATCTCTTGGCCCAAACAGACATTTCATCTTGTGTTCTGTTGGTCTGTTAACAAATAGCAGATTTATACTACATTTTGCTATCCATGCATTTTTATCAAGTGATATACCGTATCTTTGTTTAATCTCACCAAGCCAATATTTCGCAGTTTTGTGGCATTTAAATTCAACACGAAAAAACAAGCTTTGCATCCCTTGTTTACACTAGAAATATTAAAGGTTTGGTATTTAAACAGCTGGAAAAATATGTGAACATTTATACTATACCTGATTGGTTGTACCAGTGACTTGAGAGTAATTGAAGGAGAGATATCTTCATTCTTCAGCAAAGCACGAATATGGAACCTCGTGATACCCTCTGCACCTTGCTGGGAACAGAAATGATCAGGAACATATAGCATCAGGCCCTCAAATCACAAAACATCTCAACTTCCAAAGAATACTCTCAATTCCCATCATCAGATTTATTTTAAGGGCTACATTTCCTAAAATCAGTAAGTAACTTAAATTATAAATAAACAATCAATTAAAAGAAAATTTATGTTCAGACATCAGCTCTTGCCAACCCTGTACAGGTTCAGGGAAATAATAGTCCTGGGGTATACCACTGTATGTCATAAGAGGTGGCTAATGAGTGACGCCCTTGTGGAATCATAGGTATTTTTCTGTTTCTTCTGCTTTGGGGGCATTGAGGAAGCCATAACTACCCTCCACAATAAGATTGACCCTGACCTTTAACTGTGATCCTGACCTTTAACAGTAACTCTGACCTTAAACAGTGATACTTCGAAAAGGTTGGGGTCACCTGCCCAACCACGTGGGTTTTCTCCGGGTACTCCGGTTTCCTCCCACACTAAGACCCCCCATGCACTAACATCCAGGCCAACAAGAGTGATTAATATAAGTTGAAATAACCTGTTTCATATTTGTTGTAAAATAAATAAAGTTTATTTATACTTTGAGTTGATATACATCACTTAAACCTCAGGTGATGCACATGCTTTTGAGGTTTCATTCTTATCTCTATCTATCTATATATATGAATCCGCCTGAAGAAGCCCTAGAAGGCAGAAAGGACTAGCGGACGATCTGAAATATTTATGTTTTTATTCTATATTTTCCTTCGCAAGGACTTATTTATTTATTATCTACTATCTATATATATATGGGGCAAAGAAGTAATTCCAACAGTGTGGACAAGTTAAGGTATATAACTGACAGAGTAACACAGTATTTTTATGCATTGGTAAATACCATAAACATTGGATATCTGACGAAATAAACTGATATGGTAATACAATTCTGTTTCTCAAATTTTAATTTGAAAATCAAAAATTACATTGGTTCATATTGCCATACCATAGTAGGTCTGGAGTTATCCAAGGTCACTCCATGGAATGTTATTTTGTAGCTAAGAGTCACATCCCCTAGGTTGGCCCACCATTTGGCTATACACATTTCTAATGTACTGTTGTCCTGTATGGAATAAAATAAATTCATATTGTGTGAATTTGTGCATGGCAATGTCATTAAATCATATCAAAATCCTGTTATTTTAATAATTATCACATAAAACTATTTAAAATTTAAAATTGAAATACAATTATTTAAAAATATTATTTAAAAATAAATATGTTACTGATATGAACATTGTTTTAATGTTTTTGGAACTAAATATATTAACTGTGGTATTTCCAAAAATATTAACTATGTTATGAAGCATATATTTAAAAGATTACTTACAAGAACTTGGAATGCTTGAGTTGTCTGCCCTTGACTTGAAATTGTTACAAATTTCTCAAATTCTAACTTTTTGTATTGAAACTGTTGAACAACTTGCATGCCGTGCAGGAGCATTCTACAGCTTTTCTCTTTGTCTGATGACTTCACATTCAAAACTAAGAGAAAAAATGATATAATATCGTATGAAGAATGTGTATCAGGGTTTGTGATAGCATTTAAACGAATAAGATGAAAATTGTAACAGAAATTATACTGAAACACTTAATCAGAGACATAAACAGAAACATGTTACACAAATGATGCTACTTTCTGTATATAAAAATAAACAAGTCTACAACCTTTTTTTCTTTTTATCAAATCAACGAAGGAAATAATTTCTGCAATACCAGTGGACTTATAATCCATTTCATTAACATTCCAAGATATTTGTTTTACAGAAAACTTCATTGAAGAAATATCTCACCGGCAACGGTAGCTCCATGTGGTACTTGTATGAAGTGTCTATGAATCTGACCAGGTTTGAACTGTACATCATTAAAGCACATCTCATACGAAGTCTCATCAGACACCCTGCCAGGATCGAATAGTACAATAATGTCAGTGTAGGTAGGGATTGTGATTTGTTTTTAAAGTTAGGGAGTATACAATGCAAAAATTCCTGCAGCAGCCTATATTTTTATGAGGCATTGCATCATATTTGATGCATTCCAATGATCCAACTCCCAAGAACACTACAAACATTGTATAGTCTAGATTTTAAATCAGTATTTCTATGATTACTTCAAACTAATTCATCCCTACATTCTTAAACTTGACTTGCACAGTCTTTGATATGGTAAGGTTCAAATGTGACTTTAGGGGTGAATGGGTTAAAGATCATTTGTAGTGGTTTATAACAATTAGTTTATATATAAAATCATCGTCTACGTATTTTACATTAGATAGGTTAATATCTTACTTGGTAGGTTTGATGACGGTGATCGGTATCCTGAACACTGGACCTTTCTCCACACAATTCACATCATAGGCACAAATCTGAAGGCAATCGCACCATAGGTATTTATATATAACAATCTACTACCTGTTCCGATTTGGTAAGCTGTGGTATCCAGAACCAAAGCCGGCTTATCACCAGTAAAATAAAGTATAAATGACGTCAACATCTTAAAGTTTTGAAAACAAATTAATTCCACAAGTCAAAGATTTGCTTATTGAAAGGAGATGTTTTCCATTCAGTGTGATGTCTGTAACTTTTTTTTTAACTGTGAAGTATTTTTTTCATTCTTGAAAAAAAAAAAAAAAAAACAGAAACCAAATTATTTTCAACATTCAGTAAAACCCCACTAGTAATGCATCACTGACCTCTGTATAGTGAGCATCTTCAGTGAGTCCACTGTGGTCAACCTTGACACTGATTACGCGTGCCACATTCATCAGCTCCAAGTGACTGGGGTGCTGGACCCAGGATGCATCACATGTCAGGGCTAATTGTAGACTAAGTGCAATCTTCTCTTCTTGTTCTGTATAATACAATGGTACGTATAAACTGAGAAACACACATACATGTAGCAATACATAAGATCCATTTAATCAGAAGATTACACAACACAGCAATGCACTTAAAGGACCATAATCTACACATATATGTAGCGAGCAAACCTCTTAATCAGGTGAACACACCTGTAAAATTACTTTAATTCTCAAACCTAATCCTATGCTTGATTGTACATTTCTTTTTACCTAATGTAAAATGCTGGTTTGTTTGCCTTTTCATCTACTATGTTTATAACTGTCGCTGCAGGAATACTATTATTCATGTGCTTTATAGCACCTCAGTAATTTTGCAAATATTATTATTTGTTTTTAGTAAACATGTTTTTGATCCCAACACCATGCTTGGAAATTATTTTACTAAGATTATTTATGACCATACTCATGATAAATACCTACCTGATGTTTATGACCATACTCATGATAAATACCTACCTGATGTTTATGACCATACTCATGATAAATACCTACCTGATGTTTATGACCATACTCATGATAAATACCTACCTGATGTTTATGACCATACTCATGATAAATACCTACCTGATGTTTATGACCATACTCATGATAAATACCTACCTGATGTTTATGACCATACTCATGATAAATACCTACCTGATGTTTATGACCATACTCATGATAAATACCTACCTGATGTTTATGACCATACTCATGATAAATACCTACCTGATGTTTATGACCATACTCATGATAAATACCTACCTGATGTTTATGACCATACTCATGATAAATACCTACCTGATGTTTATGACCATAGTATACTCATGATAAATACCTACCTGATTTATCTTCAAAAAAGTTGGGTTCGACTGTGACATTGACAACGTAAGGTTTCTTGAAGTGATGAGGTTCTCTGAGATAGATTCCACGCTTGCCATCTGTACAGGTGATGTTGAAGTTGATCTTAGTCTCTGAACATTGGGTGTATGTACACAGGTAGTCATAAGCTTTCTCAACCTAAGGCAAACACCAGAGAGGAATAGTGGAATTGTAAACCCAGGAACCTCTATTAATCTGAGAGATTTTAAAAATCATATAGTCAAATAGCTATACTGCTTAACCCTTTCACCACTAAGTAACTTTAGTAGACTCTACCATATATTTATTTGGATGAGTCCATTATGGTCTACAGTGGTGAAGGGTTAAATGAAGCTTTTACAGTATATGTACACAAATACAATTTTATCTCATCTATCTACATTGTTATATGACATAGTATACAGTCACTAGTTACGGGATAAAGGTGCTTCAGACAGCTGAAAACAAGTAATGTAGATATAATTAAGTTCGACTGAGTAGAAGGTAAGAAAAGGCATTAAACATTTAAGATTTTCTGTATGAAACATATTATAACAAACGATGCTAGCATATTGTTTTCACCAACAAAATAAACAAGAAAACTGGCAGTGTAACTTAAGACCCTAACTGAAACTATAATAATTATGAATGGGGACACAAAGTCACATACTATACCATTTTGTAGCATAACATATTTTACATAGTATTCTTTAAATTTAAATCATTCAGACTCCGATTTATTCATCACAGCTTCATCACCATTGCTTTCCTGATGCTTACAAGCATAACACAACAGTCCTATAGACAAATTGTTTCATCAATCATTCGACTTTGTATTGAATCAGCTAATTTGAGGACGATTTTCACTAATTTACTATCGCCTTACATGAATGAGGCCATGTCCAAGGGCAAACACTTCAACATTGTCCACCTTCTGTGCTGTGTTTTGCAAGGCTCGCTTGATACTGAATGGTGTGTACTCTATGTGGTTTGCCTTCAGCCCAGATAAAAACAGACCTGATAATGTACAAGAAGAAAGATGAAATGTTTAAAAGTTACAAAATATGACCAACCTCAAATTTCTTCACTGATGAAAATTTCTTGGATATATTTTAAAGCAATGTTTGAACTTAATGTTAGAGTAAGACCGTAAGACAATCACCAGGAAAAACAATGTAGGTCTGTACATGTGGGAATCATTTATGTCATAGACCAAATTGTCTTTAATGTTATGTCCAATGATTGGTTTAATTTTGTTTAATGTCTTATTAACAGCTAAGGTCATTTAAGGATGTGCGTCCATGTGTGTAGTGTATGCGTGCTAGCATGTGTGTATGCAGGAGACAGGGTATGTTGGTGTGCTTGCAACCTTGTGATAGCGTGGATCTGATGTTGACTTTATAGTGCTATCTCACTGAAATACCATGCCGAAGGCACCCAGCACATCATTCTGCCCGGTCACATTATGCTGACAATGGGTGAACCAGTTGTTGCCATTCCCCTAAATGCTGAACGTTAAGCAGGGAATAACAACTACCATTTTTAAGGACTTTGGTATGTCCCGACCTGGGGACAGAACTCATTGCCTTCCTCGATCACCTGGGCGAACGCTCAGCATTCAAGCCAAAAGTGAGGTGTTGCCAAGCAAGGCGTTAGGAAATAAAAGGTAGTTAGAAGTAGAAATAAAGATACCAAATAATGCAATGGGCGAAGCAGATAAATTATAGTTGCGTTTGTGTCCCCAAATAGAGGACACCAAAGCAAATCCCCAATTTTGCAGGGCGTTCCTACATTAGTCGCCTCCTACGATACATGCAGTGGGTAACAGGAGGTGTATTCTTTTCCCGATCCCCCACCTGCAGGGTTGTATGTCTAATTATGTTTATGAATCATTGATAAGTGTTGTAGTGATAAAAAAAATGTCTGTAAAATATCTTTTCTTCCTTTATTATTATACAGTTATTTAGGTTATATAAATCTTGGTCAAGGTCTGTTCTATGAAAACTTCAGTAGGTCTGTAAGAAATCTATATTATACATGTCTCCATTTTCTATGGTGTGTACTGTGTAAATTCTAAATTCTAAGACTGTTTACAGGTCTATCCTGCTAAATTAAGAAAGTGCAGAGTAAATAACATCGACCTGACAAACCCATAGTGTCAGTGTACAGGTCTAACCTGCTAAACTAAGAAAGTGCACAGTAAATAGCATTGAGTAGACAAACCTATACATCCACAGGCATTCGGCGAACTCATACTGGTTCCGTTCATAAGCTGTGATCCCCGCAGTGTCCAGTTAGGTACAGAGGCTATGGCCCCTCCTGGAGCACTGATACACACACCCAGATCTCCATCATGTCTGTCAGAAAAGATATATGTTATAGAAAACTATGGTTATGTTTCTTGATTTTTGTGGATTTACTTTTGAGATACACAGACTTTGATAAAAGTGTTCTGAACACACAGCAGTGTTTAGTTTAATATGAACAAGCATTTCTTTTTAAAACAAGCATAACTTTGTAAATTGGTTAAATATTGTGTATGACAATTTTGAAAAAATCATGATATAAAATATTTTCTGAATGAAAAAGTCAAGTTGTTTCCTAAACTAACAGGGTATAGTATTGCGAACAGGCTTCAATATTAAAACTGGACAAAGGACCATATCTCTGTTTCTTTATCCGGCAAGAGACCAAATTTCAAAAAAACAAATGAGATATGGCCTGGATTAAGTGATGCACGGATAGACTGATTGACTGAAGGATGGAGTACAACCCAGTATTTCCTTCCAGTAGTTCCAGTGAGGGACTGATAAGATTTCAAGTGTTTGAAAAGATTTGCACTTACGTGGGACCCCTAGATGACCATGTATACTGCATGCTGGGAAGTTTTTCCCTCAAGGAGTATTCAGCAGCCATCATCAGCGGTGAAACCTGGGCTCCCACTCCTGAGGAAAATCAACAGTTATGAGAACAAAAATAATTTTAAATCATATTTTGACATGACCATTATTTTGACTTGATATGATCATGTCAAAGTATGGTATAAAATTATTGGTGACACAATAATAAAGAAAGAAACTGTCAAATTTCTTGCAACATTGTCTTGACAGTCCATGAGAAATATTTTTTAATAGGCCTGGATTTATGTTGTAAGGAGGAGGAGGTCCAATGGCATTACGACTAGATACTTTATATAGACCTATACAAAATATCTAGTCAGAGTGCTAGTCCATGCAATGTGATGCCATCGTACTGTTTTTTGAATCCACAATAGAAATGTACAGCACTTACTGATAATAGGATATAATATGAATATTTATCATCTATATACTACATTGTACCACCTACTAGCTATATATAGTATCATGGTTGTCAGTACGAGAATACTCCAGAAGAAGTTGCAAAAGACTTCAGAACAAGTGGTAAATAGATCATAAACAGTTTATAACACAATGTTTTCAGGGTTGGTCATTCTAACAATTTTCTCATTGCTGGCACATGGACAAAATTGACAGTGCACCTGCAGTGATTTCTCGATTTTATCCATGTGGCCGCGATGAGAAAATTGTTCTCACGATAAACTCTGAAAACACAGTGTGACAATCTATAAATACCCAATTTAGTAAAATAAACCTGTTCATTCAGACCTAGCGACAAATGTATAACATGTCAGTCAACCAAATTGCAAATATCTTGACAGCCATTTAATTAGCTGCTGGATCAATCTCCAGGTGCTTCTGCTAGGACTGTATATATCTTTTCTCTGGAAATATTTGAAGAAGTTTACCCTGAATTTCACTTGAGATGATTATTTTGTAAATTCAGACCAGGTGAATCTACGATAAGTGATAATAAAAACATAAAAAAATTCTCAGAGTACAAAAAGCCAGTGAAGTTATATAACTAGAAGTACATGTACTACTGGGTATATGTGCTTGATCCTGCTTCTTCTGAAATATTAATACAGGGGTATACAATTCCACAAGCTTGGGCCCAGTTCTGGTTAAAAGGTGATTAGCTTTATAAATCAGTAATTTGCGCAAATTTTAATTGATGTACATCTTTAAAACACAATCATTGAATCAGTTACAACTTTCCAGATATAAAATTTACATGCAAAATTGTGTGATTTTACCTTGTATTTTGACGAAAATATGAAAGGTTGAAAAATGTTGTCAAACACCGATTAAGTTATTTAACCACCTTTCGAGCCACTGGGCCCTGATGTCTAGGGCTTGCCGATTTCATGTCAAGGCACATACATTTTTTAAATGTTTACTTTTAAAACATAGATCAAAACGGTAGAATGTTGCCGCAAATAGGGAGATCCCTTCAAGATTATCTCATTGTGTGATTCGGTCACTTTAAATAAAATGTTACCAATGAGGGCGTCAGTTGTTCCTCCAGGTGTACCGACAGTGGACAGGGCTGGACCATTGTTTCCAGCACTGGATACAAATATAACACCATGCTTGTTGACCGCTTCACTAAGAATGTCTACCACACGCCTGTTTAAACGAAACAAAATATTAATATAAACACAACAAACTTTGTATGTCAATGACCACTTTTTTTACAGAACCCCCCACCATACTTTAAGTTTATCTAAGATGTTACAAAGATGATCCTATAACACTTAATTTCTTTAGAATTGATGATTGATGCATGGGTGATGAGATCCAACCCAGTCATTATCACAGCCCTTACCATTAAGATTGAAATAGTGCCTTTCCAGAAATAAATATAAATATACCTGAAAGGTGAGGTTGGGGTGGGGGTGGAGATAGATACCTTTATGTGACCCCCATCACTCATATACCAGGTATTATCAATGATAAGTGCCTTCCTGTACCTTCTTCTTCCAGCATATTTTATATTTGGAAATTACTTTTAACTCATTCACCCCTCAAACTTTAAAATGAACTATTCCAACCATTGAATTGGAAGAGTTTAAATGTGTCTTCAGGGGTGAATGAGTTAAAAGCATAAATTGTAACAATAGGAAATAATGTATTGTCATATTATTGTTGATAAAGAATTTGCTGAAGCAAGCATAATTTATCAATGTAAAAAAAGAACAAGATTTCCAGCTCATTAGATATGTCATCCATTGGATTTACACTAACAATAGTCTTACCCTGAGTTTGGCCAGTGAGAAGCCTCTCCATAACTGTAGTTCACCAAGTCGCACTTGTGCTCAATTACTTTGATCATCTGAAATGAATACAGATATATAAGGACCTGCCATATCTTTTTCTAAAAGATTTCAAGGCAATACCAATTTATTAAATAAAAAATAGATGTTTTTATATGAATCCTGGCAAGAATAAGCTTGTGGTTGGACAGTTTTAAGTTGTAATCATTTTCCAACCTTGTTGCTTATCAAATACTTTTCAAATGTACATGTACTGCGTTCATTTAAACAAGTGTTTTGGTAATATTTCAGCAACACTTTTAGACCTACAATCATCAGGTATAGTGAACCATTCTGTCACTAGTTAAAAAAAAAAGTATGAAAATATAAACTTTATTTATTTTACAACAATTATGAAACAAGTTATTTCAACTTAATATATTAATCACTCCTGTTGGCGCAGATGTTAGCGTACAGGGGGTCTTAATATGGGAGGAAACTGAAGTGCCTGGCGCAAACCCACATGGTCAATTTTCACGTCCGATCATGGAATCGAACCCCGGCCACCTGCTGAAAAGCAAGTGTGCTATCCACTGCCCCACCCTAAATGATAGACAGGAAACTTACAGCTCTAACGAGGGCTGTCCCCGTTTCCATGGAACCTAGACGTGTGTCTCCAATCTTGATGGAGATGATCTGTGCTCCTGGGGCTACTCCATTTCGCTCTGGCTGGTCAGCAAAATAGCCTGCTGCTATACATGCCACATGAGTAGCATGGGAACCTTTCAGAAGAGAGGTAGTATAATATGTTAATATATAATGTGAGAAATGTACAGTTAACTATAAACAGTTAAGTTGCATGGCTATTCTTTTTTTAATTATTTTTAATACAATGTAAGAATTCTGTTTTTAGTACCGGGGTACTTTTCAAAATAATATCTCCAATAAGTGGGGTTTTTCCTTTATATACATGTATATTCAATGGTCCCAATTATCTGCAACATACTTTTCTTGTTAACTCTTAAACATCAAGCCGACATATTTTCTAATGAAAATCTGTTTTTATTAAACTTTGATGAAGTTCAGAGACAAAAATACTGATACTAAAATGACAACAAATAAGTGGGACTTACCTGCATTTGTTACCATTTCTAAAACATCACCATCATTGTAAATGTTGATGCTATAATTCAGCATATCTGTAAACATAAGAACTAAAAAGTTCAAACCCTATAAAGTATTTTTAACTTATCTCCTCATAGTTATTTTTGTTAAATTTACTTTGTTTGTGGTCAATCGAAAATGCGAGGTACTGGATAACATATTATAACAAGTTAACTTGGAACATAGCTTTGCATGAATGTACTGGGTCAAACAGTATTATACAAATTATATGGTAAATCACAGTATTATACAAACTATATGGTAAATCACAGTATTTTACAAATTATATGGTAAATCACTGTATTATACAAATTATATGGTAAATCACTGTATTATACAAATTATATGGTAAACCACAGTATCATACAAATTATATGGTAAATCCCAGTATTATACAAATTATATGGTAAATCACAGTACAAATGTATAACATTCAAATACTAGGTATCAGTCGAAAATACAAATACTGGCGGGTGGGTAACAGTCAAAAATACAAATACTGGGTAAAAGCATTATCATCCTCGATATCCAGGGGTTACGCTCACTTTCGCTCTCTGCATCCCTGGAATATGTCATAGCAAAATTGAAGGCAAGAAGATAACTGTTTGATTGGTCTCAGGTAAAATAAACTGACCAATCGCTAGGCTGATACATTTCCTTTGAAGATTACAAAGGAGAGACGCCAGACTTTAAAGCCTGACAATTTTTACCGTTACGTGACCGCAAGATTCTTTTGATGAACATCGAAGGATCGAGTTAATCTTCTTGTCTTCTCATCATAACATTTACATTCACAAGTACTGGGTTACATATTATTACATTCATGTACTTGGTTACAAAGTATTAGACTATTACAAACATGTACTGGATAACGAACAGTTATTACTACCTTGTCGACTGATTGTTCCATACTGTCTCTCTTCAGAAAAACTGGCCAAAACTTTACAATCACCAAGGTCACCCTTCTCTGTTGTATCAACACAGGCTCTGTCATTGAATCAAAAATACACATTTTACCATAATGGAAGTTCAGTCTGGTAGAAAGAGAAACACCAGGGTTTTAGTAGCCTAGGTATATACACTGGCATAGATGGGAGAGTAATTCAATATATCAAATTAAGATCTATTAATATTATATCACAAATACCAATGTTGCTTTTTGACATGTTTTTAAGTTTTTAAGTTACCTAGAAAATTACTTTTATGAACCTTAATAACATTTCAAATAATTAGAACCACCACAGTTCTTCCTGTATTTACAAGGTGTTTCTGATATACGTGAATATAAGGATAAGCTAGATCGGTTTAGTCAATTATTTATTAAAACCTAAAATAAAAGACATTTATACAAAAAAAGTTGTATCAGCATCCATTAACCCTTAGGCTGCTACATTGATTTCTATGTAAACGGACACCACTGCTGAATTAATTATTGAAATTTATTTTAATTTACTTGATTTTTCAAATGTGCATAACTTGGAAAATATTTGTTATATGTGAAAAAAAGTTATATGAAAATTGTTCGTTGTTGTCTCTAGTTTATATTAACGTTTTCAATTCTAAAGTTGCTTCAGTATTTACCTGTACAGGTGGTAATAAAGGTAAGAAAATGTGAAACTTTTAATTAATCGGATTTAAGCAAGAGGAAGATCATTTTAAAATTATTTTCGTCCGTAAATGTGATTGGCAAATGATAACAGAGATTATAAACTTAATTTTTGACATAAGACGCTGTATATTTACACGGAGATTCTCAGGTAAAAAGGTCAGGTATTTCGTCAAGATTTGCGTGTGATTTGCTACAGGTTTCAGGTCGCCATTCAATAAATTAACTGTCACAGTCGGCATATAGATATATCTTAGCTACGATTATGATTAAATCACCAATAAAAAGTTTGAAGAAATAAATCGGCTCAGAACGTATAAATGTCAATGTTCAATTCGGCCTCACCTGCAGACGACATGTGCGCCTCGGTCCGCCGATATATTTTCCTGTTTGCGTAGAGCACAAAGCCGTTTACTGGAAAGTTACATATTATGTAACACCGAAGTATTTCCACATCACCCATGCCAAACCCTTCAAAACCTTTATTATCATCGTAGGTGACGATGGAGAATAAATGTTTACCATCATATTCATCGCTTCAATCTACATGTCCTTCATTTTTATGACATTTTTTTCGATTTGAAATTCTTTTGCACACCTTTGGTTATTACTAGGGTACACTGCCGTGAATATCGAAAGTAATGACAAAACAACCAATCAGAAGCCTTCTACTATCCGCGTTCGGGTTTGATATAACAACAACCCGACTTCACACTTCCTGGCTACCGATCGAACCCTACAGACCGAGAAACGACTATTGTCGTGCGTAGCACTGACGACCCGACTTTTCAAAACGACAATTGTCGTGCGTAGCAGCCTAAGGGTTAAAATGACTAAACATTAACTAAGATAACACTACCTCCAGGTGTTGCCATCATGAAAAACAACACAATCAAACACTGGTCCACAGTCCTGGTACTTCTTGTCTAAGCTTGTCAATAGATCCACTTTAGCCTGCAGGTCTTCCTTCACAAGTTTTTCCTCCTTGAATAGAATATAGCTCATACAGTAACATGTTTATTGTTTCACATAATACACAAAAGTAGCATGACCAGACAAGAATAGTTGTGATTAACAAGAGGTCCATTGGACCTGTATCGCTCACCTGGTTTTATATTTAAGTCATTACAACTGAATGCATTAGTACATCTTTATATGAAATTAAAAGAGACAAGAAAACCAGACAATATCTATGTTCTAACCCAACTGGGACCACACTATCTGAATTTCAACTAATCAAAGGCCTCCATTGAGTTGTCATGTTAACAGATTTTGAAGTAAGTAATATGTCATATTACAGGGTGTAATTAGACAATACTTTAGTTTTCATTCAACTATAAGCTTTTATTATATGCATGAACATTTCTTGCAATCACATTGGTCGGATCCTATACATGTGACCAGTCCTCAAAAACTCATGTAGACTGGTTATCCGGTGAATATCGATTTCTAAATATAGCCTGTATGGAAATTCCCCGGAACCTGTCGTAGCACATGCGCAGTTAGACTGGAACGCGATCTGTCAGACGACATTAAAAGATGGCTGCTGGCGAACTTTTTTCCTCCGTTAGGAAAATTACCAAAACTATTCAAGGATAAAGATGATGTTAACGTAAAAAAAAGGCCATTGAACATGCAGTGCATGTCCTCCATGCTTATCTTAAGAAAAAGAAACTAGACGATGCCTTCGAAAGCTACAATGATGAACTGTTGTATTCAAACCTGGCTAAATTTTACACGGAGGCTCGCATACAAAAATCAGAACTTTTAGTTTTGTTTCGTTTTATTTTATTGTTGAAGCATATAATAAAACAGTTATGGGCTTTTGTGCTGGTGAATATGATGTGATATGAACCTGAAAGAGTTATATTGACAGAGGCGAACCTAGAAACCAATTTTTAACAATTTATGAAAACTACACCATAGAATATGATAATCCAGCTGTACTATTTCTTAGGACCGCAGGGGTCAAACCAACCTCATTCAATTAAGAAATGTTTGTTCTTCCTCAATAATGTTTTTGACCAAATTTACTACAATCCACTCAGATAATTAGGGGATATTAGCGTCTTAAAGCAAAATATTTGATATTTTTCCTCTTTTTGGCCCGGCCTTTCTAGCCCCAGGGGTTGAAGCATATAATAAAACAGTTATGGGCTTTTGTGCTGGTGAATGTGATGTGATATGAACCTGAAAGAGTTATATTGACAGAGGCGAACCTAGAAACCAATTTTTAACAATTTATGAAAACTACACCATAGAATATGATAATCCAGCTGTACTATTTCTTAGGACCGCAGGGGTCAAACCAACCTCATTTTTTTAAGAAATGATTGCCCATCCCTACTGATGCTTCAGACTTAATTTGGTTGAAATCCTCTCTGGCGTTTAGCAGGAGATGAGTTTTAAAGCAAATTTAGCTAAGTTCCCCTGGAGGGCCCGCCCCCCTGGCTTCAGGAGACGAACCAACATAATTTATTTAAGAAATGATTGCCCTTCACTACTGATGTTTCAGACTAAATTTGGTTTAAAACATCTCTGGCGTTTAGCAGGAGATGAGTTTTAAAGCAAATTTAGCTAAGTTCCCCTTCAGGGCCCCACCCACCTGGCCTCAGGGGTCAAACCAACCTCATTTTTTTAAGAAATGATTGCCCTTCCCTACTGATGTTTCAGACTAAATTTGGTTGAAAACCTCTCTGGCGTTTAGCAGGAGATGAGTTTTAAAGCAAATTTAGCTAAGTTCCTCTTCAGGGCACCGTCCCTGGCCTCAGGGGTAGTACCAATCACATTTATTTAAGAAACGATTGTCCTCCCCTAGTGATGCTTCAGACAAAATTTGGTTGAAATCCTCTTTGGCGTTTAGAAGGAGATAGGTTTTGAAGAAAAAGTTGACAACGACGACGAATGACGCGCCACAGCATTAGCTCAGTATGGTCCTTCGGACCAGGTGAGCTAAAAATGAATTAAAAAAAACCAAGTCAATCCAGGTGTAAGCTTCATGTACATGATGAATAGTACATGTAATTGTTCCTGTTACGGTACCTGATTAGGACTGGAATTTTTCGTTTCAAACTCCTCAAGTTTGCGAGTGGCCTCAGCCAGAGCAGCCCGGTGTGGGGGATCCCATGTCTGCTCCCTTCGCTCCTTCACTACTCTGTCCTGCAAGCGCTTCGGGTACAGATCAAACAGGTTCTTGGCTCCGATGTGATACTTTCCTGAAGGGTTAGTCCAGGAAGGTGGGATCTAAAAGATGAAATGTCAAGTCGTATCATTCATAAACAAATAAATAAAATGAATATTTGTTTGTATATTGTAATATTGGATAATACTGACCTTACCTTGAAGAATTTAGATGGCTGTTCTATTCATTCAACAAGATATACATATTCATACATTACATAAATTTTCCATGAGATGAACAAATAATTGTCATTACAAAAAAATAGTGAAAATATGCATAAAAACATCTCTCAGCTAGCATTAGTCAAGTCAATAGTATGACAAATCAACATAAATACTAGTAGGTTCATAAAATTATATAGTCACATGTATTTCATTTGTCCATAAGGACTATGAATGCCAACTAAAGCAGCTTGATGCTTAAATATACTCACTGTATAGCTATAAATGATGTAAACATTAAAAGCATTGGTTTTGTCAGTTTATCAAACATGAGTTGTGTCCAAATGAAACCTCACCTTCAACTTGCGTCCTGTGACACCAGTCATCTCTCCATCTTCTGGCTCAACCACTTTGGAAGTGTCTACATCACCAGAACCAGTTGCATCAATCACGTCTACAATTTTTGGGCTTCCATCAGTCGTAACCTGAAATGCATCCATAATAAGCATTTTGCAAACTGTAACATGCAGTAACATAAGTTGTTTCAGAATTATCAAGATTTTTTATCTATTCTGAAATGTCAAACTCGTGTTCAACAAGTCATAATTATGAAAGCTTTATTTGATCAGTGCTGTAATTACATTTTGGTACTTGGTCATCAAAACAGCTAATGAAGGTCACTGTGTCATGATATTACATTGCATTTATAATAAAGTAGTACAATTACATTGGACAGTAGATCATTAATTAAGAGCATGTTTTGACTCTCCAAATTAGCTCTGGGTCTTAACATTGAAAGGACATATCTATTTCACTTGTGTTGTGTCTCTCTACATGTCATAGGAAATTAAATTGACGTTTGAAATTGTTTTAAATGTCAAGGTTCAACTGCTATGGATCAGAACATGAGACACTATGCACCTAATGTGATGTTCGTGTAAACGAAAAACAATATCATCTTTCTTTAATAAGAGTTTTATATCTCTTAATTCTGACCAGACACATGTTTAAATGAGCGATCATAAAGACTATCAAGATTTAGGACGAAGTGACCCTAATGTCATGAACTCGCCCACGTTACAGCCAATTACGGTAACAGGTGTAAACCAGTACATAACGTTATACTGCATCACTGAAATTATAAACAACATTCTGTTGCCGAGAGTAGCGGAATGGTGGTTTATAATACTAGTTTCAAGATTAACAGCGAATCAAGTTACGTAAATAAAAATGATCAAATCAGCTGATTCATGACAAGTGTGTGCTTGCTGGTGCAAATATTTTGACAAAAGTTGATAATCATTTGTACTTGTAATCCCGGAGCACCAGGATCCACCCCTGTATCAAGAATCGCAATAAGGACACCCCTTCCATCGTAATCTGGATACTTCGTTAAGAAAGAAGCAGCTCCAGTCTCTTTCTTGGGAAGAATTCCTTCGACGGGAAAATTAGATTCGACAGTGGACGCCATGTTTCGCAGACGATTGTCTCCAATATCACCAAAGCGCTTTTTTGACGTTTCCCAGATTAAGCGTCATTATGATCAAGAGTGCAAAATTTATTAAGAAAACCCACCCCGTTGAATTACTGGCAAATATTCTCATTCGTGCCAAATGATATGAATTCACGTTAATTTCGCCTATACGCATATTCCAGATTTTTATATTTCATGAAGCGACTGGCAGTTACAAGTGTCACCAATGGAAAATCGAAAATTATGACACCGACATTATTCTTGAAGTATCGGTGGTAGGTTCTACTATGTGTTATATGATCCGAGGCTGAATCCCTATTTTTAATAAAAAAAATATATCATTTGAAACAGAGACGTATATGTTATATGTAATATATACGTCTCTGTTTGAAATTAATAATTTTGATAAAACGTAAATATGATATATACAAACTAATATTGCTAAACTTTGTTTGAAAAACTGAACCAAATATGTCGAACTCGAAATCGATAAAACTATCAGCCAAAAAGTGTGGGTTTTTTTTGTGTAGGACGTTTTTTTCAGTATTGACCAATTATTTCCTGTATTGGTTGACTTTTGGAGATGTATTGCCCGGGACCTAATTTTCTGTATTGCGCCCGGACAATATCAAGCTAGTTTAAAATTAATAAAGCTTTAGCATAAATTTAGCTGTCACTTTTTGCCATGTTCTAATTTAAGAATGAGGAAAGCAACCGAAGAAGAGTCTGTGATGTCCTTGATTTTAAGCTCATGTGGGTACATACGATCGATGAGGTGAATGCATCAACACATCATCGATATATCTTCGGAATGTGAAAATGAAGGACTTAATTAGATTTGTGTAACCAGTCCCGATAAATCGCATCAATTAATTCAGCTTCGCATGAAAACAAAACAACACAGTGTTTGTTTCCATCAACATGCCTACCGTCTGCTGGTAAATCTTGCCGCCGAACTTAATGAAGATACTGAAATTGCTAACCAGAGGAAATCAATTATTGTCACGATTTCCATCCTCAACATTTTGGCCTTTCCGTATTCCTAAAGTGAGACTTAAATGATTTGAAATCAGTATCCCTAATGCTAAAAGGAAAACAATAATAACAATAATAGAAAATAAAAATAAAAAATAAACAAGATTTTCAAATATTACAAAATCAAATTCAAAATATAAAAGAACTACATATCAATTATAAATAACGAACTATTGTTTCCGTTAGTAATGAGACAATCTAAAAATCGATTAAGGGGACTAAAAACGATCTTATATAGACATCCATCCTTTTATATCCCGGAGTAAATGATCGACTACTTTAATATACTATACTGATATACGTTACATTGCTACGTAATTAATCAATTACACTGTATATCTATTAAGAACTATGTATCATATTGATAATTAATCAATGAGAATGCCATGTTTCCAAAAACCGAATGGATAACCACACTTTTACTTTCACATGATCTGAAGGCTTAACCAAAGCTAGGGGAATCTGCCAAGCGTTGTCATCGTTGTCACTGGAAACGAATCTACGGGTGCTCTACAGCTGCTCAACAGAATGTTAACACACTTTACAATAATGGTCTGATTAAGTACATCAGAAAATGATGCGAATGAAATGTAGAACGTGATGTTTGGGGGAAATATGTCATAAAGTATTTGATGGAGATTCAAGGCTGTTTTAGCATTTTCTTCAGACTGGTAAGTATGAATTGTAGAGAGGTCGATATCACAACCAGTCAGCATTCAGATATCAGAGCTCATCTTTTTACAACCGCAGAACAGTTATACCAGGTTTTAACTAGTTTAACACTGTACAGAAACTTGTTGTCTTAATGAATAAACCTTATTTACAATATGTCCTGGCGAGCACAGTTCATAAAATGTATCGTAGAAGAATGTGTTTTTAATATTAAGTCTTAACCCTTTTTTAGTATCTCCAGAGATGTATATATATATATGTCTCTGGTATCTCTGAATTAATTTTTAACGAGTATCTTTAGCGTCTCGTAAGCCTAGTAGGCTGGGTGTCAATCATATATCGTTTGTACATTTTAGATCATGCATTTTATGTATTTTAATCAAAATTGACATTTGACGCTTTATTAAGATAGTTTGTATCGTATTGTGTAGTATTTATGTGTGACGTTTCGATGACCTGTACAGTGTACGATACGTCAGTTTTACCAGTAAAATATTGACAATTATTGACTGACTTGACCAGATCAGAAAGCCTGACATGATACAACTAGTGACGGGACTTGTAATAAATAATCTGTAGAAGTTTACATCAGCGTAAAGAACAATCTGATTAAAATCACATGTAAAATGACTTCGTTAACTTCGTACTACACCTGAACACAGGCGGAGCCATGTAACAGCTGATTTTAATCAGATTGCGTAAAGAAAATATTATTTTTTGGTAGAATATGTTCCATGGAAGTAGGCTGTTTAACACGCGAAATTCTTATCAAGCTTCTATTCGAATTCAACCTGTCTCAATTTAGTAGAGGTTTTGTTACCGACATTGTTAATTTTTTACAAAAATACAATTTGTATCATGTTATTGATGAATTTTTGAAGAGTGGTGTATTTCCAAACAAATGTCAATGGAAGCGTTTAGTCAATGACCATGTAAAANGTCTATTATAATAAGGTATGATAGTACAGTGTAATATTGTGTTTATCATTGTATGAGGAGTGTAATAGTTTCCACTATATTATTGTACGCTAGCATAGTAAGATGATTGCTTTACGGTCAACCATATCATTGTTATATTGTACTTTATGATGACCTCTTGTTGCGCACAATAGTGTGCCTGAGTGATAATAAAAATCTCTGAAATCTCTGAATCATAATTATCACCGTATAATGACTGTAATAGTACCTATTATATCATTGTGTTGTGTTTTTAGTACTTTATGGTATGATGCGGGTACTATTATTATTCTCTTATGTGTGTGTCTGTCCATGTGCATGTGTGTGTCATGATTGTGAATGCATTTTCTTCTCTTTCAATAGTGTTGAACTGTACGTGTATTGTTCGTTATTTCTGTAACTCTTCATTTCTGGGGGAAATAAAGGAAATAATAATAATAGTAATTAAAAGAATTTAAATGACGAAGTTTAACATTTCATTAACATTTATACAGAGCTAGAGGACTATATTTTGTCGCGTAGGGTTGTCTAGACGGCCAACATACATGGATGTTCTCTGAGTGCCAACATATTTACCAACAATATACAGGTATTGTTTTATGAAATAATGACAAGTCAGTTATGTTCTGTTACATATAAAGGCTGTATTTTTCACCTTCATATTCTTCATATGCTTGTGGTAAAAGTATCAAGATCAAATATTGTCAGCTTGTTGAGTCGCTTCGCGTTACGGGGTTGGTTTTCGTAAAAAATACCTTTGTGATAAACAGAACATCTAACAGTGTCTTCAGTAATACCAAATATTCGTGGAAGATATCGAACTATAAGCCACACTCGTGAGCTATATTTGGTATTGATGACTTCACTGTTAGGTACAGTATCCTCTATATACTTGAATATGTACTTGTATACATTTGAAGATTTGCCGACAAACAAATGTTCTATGTATCCTCTACGTCCACTAAAAGTGTTTTAAAAGTTTAAGATCAGAATGTTCCGCCGAACTGACCACGAGGGTGACTTAAAATAATGTTTAGTAGTTTATTAAGGGTTGATAACATTTGGTGACGAGCAGTGTCGAACAAATGAAGCTTTTAATTGATCGAAATATACATAATGTTCGACCCAACTGTTTTAAAGCGGTAACTTTTTCGTTGTGATAAGTAATTTTTAAATGTAACTAATTAGAAAAATTGAATGGTTTTCTTGTCGAATAAAATGTCAATATTTCATTCCATTGGCAGAGTACACTTATCTTTCCAATAGTTTGAAACCTGCGTTCTGCTATACTCGTGATCTATATTTGATATTCAATCGGACATAATTAAATAACACTATACAATTCATGTGGCCAATTTATTTCTTGCAATTTAAAGACAGCACAATGTCGATATGTCTAAAGTGAAGTTGAAGGCCAGATAAGCTAATCATGAAATTCAGCTACATATGAAAAACAAAAACAAGTTAGCCAAAAGAGGGGCACATTTCGCTTATGTAGGAATGCTTACAGTCTGCTTCTGTCATAAAACTCACGGCAAACGCAGAGCTTAAAGTGTTGGATTTAGCTATAACTAACTGGCTCGTATCGGTATAATAGAACATGTATAGTAAGAGAGCTCTGGATATACCTAGTGTTTAGATCCACAAATCATACTTCCCCCTGAGTAATCAGTGGCGTAGCATACATGCATGGTTGTATGCTCGAGCATACACTGAAATAAGAATATATGTTGAATCACATATTTTTATTGATTTATTTGTTTATGATTAATATGGACCGTCCGTATCAATCATAAAATGGGGGGGGGGGGGGGGGTGGGGGATCATCGAAATTTTTGCAAGAGAAAATGATGTTGTCATGTTATGTCTATACACAATGACAAATCTCAAAAGTTCATGTAAATCAAAAACTACTTAGTGAAATACAAACTTAAATGTTATTCATATAAGAAGTCAGAGGTTGCTTGTTAATTATCAGATTAATTTACTTGTTAATTATCAGACTAATTTACTTGTTAATTATCAGACTAATTTACTTGTTAATTATCAGACTAATTTACTTGTTTATTATCAGACTTATTGACTTGTTAATTATCAGACTTATTTACTTGTTAATTATTAGACTAATTTACTTGTTAATTATCAGACTTATTTACTTGTTAATTATCAGACTAATTTACTTGTTAATTATCAGACTAATTTACTTGTTAATTATCAGACTAATTTACTTGTTAATTATCAGACTTTTTTACTTGTTAATTATCAGACTGATTTACTCGTTAATTATCAGACTAATTTACTTGTTAATTATTAGACTGATTTACTTGTTAATTATCAGACTTATTTACTTGTTAACTATCAGACTAATTTACTTGTTAATTATTAGACTGATTTACTTGTTAATTATCAGACTTATTTACTTGTTAACTATCAGACTAATTTACTTGTTAATTATCAGACTGATTTACTTGTTAATTATCAGATTAATTCACTTGTTAATTATCAGACTGATTTACTTGTTAATTATCAGACTTATTTACTTGTTAATTATCAGACTGATTTACTTGTTAATTATCAGACTAATTTACTAGTTAATTATCAGACTAATTTACTTGTTAATTATTAGACTAATTTACTTGTTAATTATCAGACTAATTTACTTGTGAATTATCAGGCTCACTTACTTGTTAATTATCAGACTGATTTACTTGTTAATTATCAGACTAATTTACTTGTTAATTATCAGGCTAACTTACTTGTTAATTATCAGACTGATTTACTTGTTAATTATCAGACTAATTTACTTGTTAAATATCAGACTGATTTAATTGTTAATTATCAGACTAAAAGGAGTTCCCAGAACAGCTTCTAGAGCCTAGTAGAACTTCTTTTTTCAACACTGGTCCCTCCCATACCCGCTACACGCCTCGGATGCTTACCCTCTGTAAGTATACACTCCGAAAAGATGATTTGCTAAGCCATTCACAGGTACTAGCCGCGTCTGTCAATAATTATATTATAGGTTTATTGACAGACGGGGCTAGTACCTGTGCGCCAATGGTAACCAATCACGCCTCCGCTTCTGTGTGGGACATGCATTTCCTTTTGACATTGTTCACCTTGATTCTTGTCGATTCACTTTTCGTATAAACAATGTTTCTTATATATATCTATCTTTACATCAATGTTTTTTTTAAATCGTGTTTTAAACTCTCTAAAACTAATGTCGTATGCCTAGTGCATGCTACGTGTTGGTCATAGAAACAAAGTTTAACTGTTTAATCATCAAGTTGTTTATAATTGCAGAAGTGAAATGTATTGCAGAAAACTTAGTAGACTAATAGAGTCACAAAGGCCCACAATAAACCGACGGCGGACTAGATAATTGACTGTCCATTACTCAATCAAAAATCACATTAAAAGTTAATGTACACTAATTTACTTACATCCAGAATATAGTTTACCCTGCCCATGGCAAATGTGATATATATCTGAGGGTTAATAAAAAGACCTGCTTCTGTTCCGGCTGATCGTATGTTGCTGCACCAAGCTATGGACACCAGGAGGATCCTACTGGCTTTAGCCATTTGTGGTTACGTTGCGTGTTCGGAGCTCGCACGAGAAGGTAAGATATGTTAGCTTCTATTGATAAATAACTCGACAGTATTCCAAATTAATACTTACAATACATTTATAATAAATTATTTTAAACACCATTGTTATTGAATAATGTCTGCACGTAAACAGTAAATCTAGAAAACTTAGACATAATTTATATTGCCAATGTAGCACATCATTCAAACAATCGATTTCTGATTCAAACACTTCAATTAATACTCCCTAAAAGTGTAGCATACAAACAATGTTCAATCATATCATGTTTGTAGCATACAAACACCTAGGTGTAGATATCTAGGCAGCATCAAAACTAAAACCAGAAATATGTTCTGTCGCTAAGAATGTAACTTACAAAAAAACACCAATATCTTCTCTTTCCCTAACGGTGCAGTATACAATTGCTTCATATTGTTGTCATATGAGTTTTTTATGAGAATTGTAAAGAAAGGGGGAAATGATCAGACAATTGTACGACATAGAAATTAGAATATCTCTATATATTCTAAGTTCGTAGGTTATATTTGATCTTAAATTATATTTGGAATTTTATTTTTATTTTTAAATCAGCTGTAAAAGAGCACAACTAGATGATGTTATTTTCTGAAACATTGATATGTTTAATCCAATTTCTGTACAATGCGACAAAATCTACGCAAAATATACCGGCATCACGCACTGTGGTTTGTTACACATGGTCAAAGGATATTCTGATAACTACTAAAACTTACTTTCAACATCGAAATCTTTATCAATTTCAACGTGACCACTCGGAAGGCCTTACTTGCTACGTTCAAAAATATATCAAGGTTACCATTTGGAAGGCCGAAATTGCTAAATTCAAAAGTAGATTAAGAGAACCATTTGGAAGGCCAAACTTGTTACATTCAAAAGAATATTAAATTGACCAATTGAAAGGACACACGTTGTTCATAATTGTATTTAAAGGCACATCACAGTAAAAATACATATTCTTGTGTGTTTTACTGGTGCGTTGAGAGAATCATTTCAACTTTAACGTGCTATAAAGAATCCATTTCATTGAAGGTTTAGGTCTCTAGATAACATCAAAACTAAGACCAGCTTATTGTATTTGTCGAGAAAGATGAAGGCAATGGACCTGTCGTACCTCCTCCTTACATAATCGGGGGCACAGATGCTACCAGGGATGCTTGGCCATGGCAGGTGATTATCAAGTACCGTAATAGGTTTGTGTGTGGCGGGACACTCCTGAACAGCAGAGCTGTACTAACTTCGGCAAACTGTGGTTTTAATAAGAAAAGGTAAGTCTCACGTATGTCCCTAGCCCACTCTTCCGTCGGAGGCAGTTAAGTTATACGCCATCCTCATGTCCACTTCGTCACACGACATTCTCATGTCCACTACGTCACACACCATCTTCGTGGTTCATCTTTCCCTTCAATATTGTATCTTTGGCAACAAAATATGTCCTATTCGATCTTGATAACCGCAGACAATTTTGTCGGCGGCAACAAGTAACATCTGATCATCACGTGTCTTTCTTTGCTCCGTCATGTTGAGAAAAAAAGCTTCATTAGACATTTTCATCTTACAGTCAAAGTAAGAAATGTCGTGTACATTAACGAAACTATTTTTTTTAAGGCCCAGCAAATTCACCGTAATAGTCGGGACTTACAACAGAAAGAAGAACGAAAGAGATACTAGGGGCGAAAAGGTGATGGCAGTGAAGACTGTGATACCGGTATGAAAATATTTTACATACGACATACATAAGAAATACTTATTAACACTATATATTGCACGGAACAGAATTTAACTGTTCACAAGGTAACTGGTGATACGGGTATACATGTATATGTCATAAACAGATTTATTATTAAATGTCATTACGTCCTGACTAATATATCGTGGTTACCTGATGGGGTTATTTTCGCGAGAGCTAGATTCGCACAATACAACATTGTTAAACTATCGCAGTCACTCAACACACAGGAATATAGCCGGTGTGTTAGCACGTAACAGAAACAGTTGAAATTTGTTAACCGTTCAATAGAACATCTACCACAGTTTGGTTTGTTGGTGTTTTACGTCCAATTAACAGCTATGGTCATTTAAGGACGTGCCAGGTTTTGGTGGTGGTGGAGGAAAGCCGGAGTTCCCGGAGAAAAAACACCGACCTACGTCCAGTACCTACGGACTGCCCCACGTGGGCGTCGAACCCCCCATCCAGTGGTTGAGGGCTAGTGATAGCAGACTGCCAGACGCTTTAACCACTTGGCCACCACAGCCCCTAAATCTACCTCACAATTTGACTTATTTGTACTTAAAGCGTTATAACAACCTTAGTAATGATAAGACCTAGAATAAATTGATATCGACAATGTAAAAGTACATTAAAAATACGTTATTGAATTTTTGTCTCCAACACCTGTTTCCTTTATCAGGCAGAGAGTGCGAATGACAAGTCTTGATTCTATACCACTAAAACAACTCACTAACACTACAATGTACCGAATAAGTAAAGTCCGCTATCCATTTAAATTGAATAGAGTCAAGGGACATGACTCGTCTTGATTATTTGTTCAGTCAAATAAAATAGTTCGGTTGCATTATGAACGAAGTGTCTTTGTCGACTGTGCATGTAGTTGGTTGTCTGGTTTAAATCTGACGCTACATTAATTATATGTACTGACGATAAGCTAGCAGCTGATACAACTATGATGCTATCTGATACTAACCTTACATGTTCATGTTTTGTTGTAGTATCCTGGTAAATATGACATAGCGATCCTTAAGTTCAAAGGGCGTGTGCAGTTCGGCACGCACATTCAACCGATACCTGGCCTGGCGGACGTAGACACGGATCTCGTTAACAGTACCTGCTTTGTCACCGGCTGGGGGTCTTTTAAAGGTAGAGATTTAGCACATATTTTGTAATATTTAATCGGGGGCAACAACGTCATGGTCCCGTCAATGGCATTGTGCAACGTTTTGTCATTATATAACCTTTCTGCCGTCTGTCCACTGTCAACAGTTTACCTCCCCGTCGCATGGCCCCGGCAATGTCTTACCTTTCTGCCGCCTGGTTACTATCAATTTTTAACCTCTCTTTAATCTTTCTCTCGATTATATGTTACATTGTATTCCTCTCCAGTCTTTCTTTTGGTACAATCAATGTATCTGCCGTCTTTTCCACGTCAATGCGTTATTCCTCTGTCACCTGTTTAACGTCATTATGTTACTTCTCTGGTGTCTGATAACTTACATCTATCTTAAACCGCTTTTGTATTTATCGATATTTAGCTGAAATAATTATTGCAACATTGACGCTCTATTTAATTGCATATACTTTGAGATGTCAGTCATGCTTGCACGATATTATGACATTGTATAATATTTGCATACGTATGTAAAAGAACTGCATTGATAAGGTTGCCTTACAAGCGTCAGCTGTAGGGAATTTTTCTTTAGCTCAGCGGTAGAGCATCGGGCTGGAGAGCCAGGGGTCGCGGGTTCGAGCCCTAGCGACGGTACTATCTTTATCACTATTCCTCGTCCTACCATAAATGGTTGCCATTGACCCTCTCCGTTCAAAATAGGAGAATCCTTGGCAGTGAGTCAAAGAACATGGGTTAATGATTGAAAAATGGAGAAATAGTGTAAAAGATATGACGAAAGCTGTAGAGAATTTCCCTTTAGCTCAGCGGTAGAGCATCAGGCTGGAGAGCCAAGGGTCACGGGTTCGACCCCGAGCGACGGCACTATCATTTTCACTATTCCTCGTCCTACTACACGTATGCATCGAATATTCCGCTTATCAAACGAGTTGCACCGTTTCCAGTTCGACTGGTCTCTTCGTCAAGCTATTACTGATTGAGCGATTTGTATTGATTTCCTGAACAACTGTATTTGTCGCTCGACAACGGAACGTTTAGCCTATCGAAAAAGTGTATAAACATATTGTATCGAAAAAAAGATTACTGTTTAGATGTAGATCCAGGCCGCTATCCAATTATGATCGGTAGCGAGTCAAACAGATGGCTTAACTGATGCCCTCCTCTTCCTATTTTTATTGCTTCTTTGATTTATCAAGGAGTAACTGGGTGGGGAATGTGGTTCGGGCGTTTCTGGTAAATTCTTTTTTATATTCTTCAAGTATTATTTGAGGCGTGTTCCAAATTTCCTCCCAGATATTCCTATATGTGATTGCTGACAGTTCTTTTTCGGAATTCAGTATTCCTCTAAGACGCCAGTCTTGTCTTGTGGGTGTACAAGTTGCTGAGTTTTGTCAATGGTCTCATCGTTTGCTGCCGCTGGTTTTTCGTTTTTGAATATCTTTCTTTTCGACCCTTGTTTATCTATTATCAATAAAGCAAAAAAACAGTTGATTACAGACAGGGTGGAAAAGGGTAACAACAAAATGCTGTATTTGAATAGCAAAAAGGCAGACATAACTGCAGAACGCAGCCATAGCCTGACAAGGGACCAGTCGCCCGGTCTGCGATAGTGCCTACCGCCCAGCCGATGACTAATTAAGGGCGGAGCTAACTGCTACTGGTAACATAAGCTGAACAGCTGCAATGATTGTAAACAGATTATGTTCTGGCCGTTCCCAATGGCTAGCTGACCATACATTTCACAACCAGTGACTATGCCAGGTGAAATTATCATATAATACTGTATAACACTGTACTTATAGTACTTGTAGGTATGTCTGGGAGTGAGATACTAAAATAGACTAGATCACGATCAATAGAAAACCAAATTGACAACAACAAAATAAATATACTTTCAACAGTCTTTGATTTGAAGTTTTTTAAAACACTTCTCCTTGGATTTCTTGGTTCCTACAGCAATGTCACTGAAGAAACGTCTCTGTCCACATTTTCATTCCTATCAAGGATTGCCAGATTGGTCCTTCTGTTGTATTCCTTGTCAGAAAAAAAACTATTCTTTTTTCATGATAGACTAATACCGCATTGTTGAAAGATTTCACGTAATAAGTGTCAATACATTTCACAAAATCTTGTGGAGTTTTGTTAATCTGTAGCATTTGAGTTGTGTTCTGTAAATTGGATATATCACTTGAGTCAGTTCGCTTTTCCTTTGTTGCTTCATAATGTTCTTCAGTTTTGCACCTGGATGCTTGAGCACAGTTGTCATTAATGTTTTGTGAGTGCAGAACTATGCTGTCAATGTTTCTGAGTAAATGATCAGCTAAACCCCCGCTTTTTGTCATGGCATTATAGCAATGTGTTCTGACTGCTGCAGCCTTGTCACTGAGCTGTGTGTGCCATGTAACACCATGTAGTTTCTTTCGGCCAATTGTCACTTTTTTATTTCCCTCGTGATACGTTTAGCAGCGTGCCATGTATCGTTGCATTTATTACTGCTCTTAAGCCAGGTATTTATTTACCGATGCATTTCTATCATGTCCATGCACATCAATGATTATGTTCTTAGAGTCAAACTTTTCGTACAGTTTTCTGGACCCAAAAAGTTTATGTCGCTGGCTAATTGGGTCATCTGTACGGGTAACTGTCTCAGCACCAACAACCTTGTGGGTCTTCAGTCCTAATGGGAATATGTCACTTTGTGCTACTTTTTTCCTCCAGCCATACCTAGGATCTGTCATAAGGGAGACTCCTTATTATCGTCATACACCTCCTCTTCATTTTCTCTCTCCATATTCTCCTCTGCTACTTCGGTAGCCTCCAATAGCGTTGCTGTCATCTCATCATTGATGACATCATTGATACAGGTATCTGTCAACGTTGATGTGACATCACAGTACATGTACATATCATGTTTATATAATCTCAAATACACATTGAAATTATTGTGTATTAAAATATATTTGCACGCATTCGTATTACTTTATGCATTTTATGTTATTTATAGTAAATATCTATAAAAATGAATGTATAAATGCATGATTGTCCTAGACAACACCATCCCTCTACACCCCTCTTGTCCATTCATATATGTACAAGGATGGACCTGGAATGGTAACGTTTTATCATGGCATTGGGGGGGGGGGGGAGTGTATGCAACTGGATAGGTTTAAAATACAGATACAACTCACTAAAATAATACTTTTACATTTACAATGCTACTGCTACAATGCATCTTTTTAATTGATCATACATTCAAGTTTACTCCAACCATTCCAAAATGTGAGACTTTTGAAGTAATGTTCAAAGTGATAGCATCCTCCTGACCCCTGTATACTATGTATTTATGGTACCTTCTGACCTGGCCTGGAGACATTTTTTCTCCAAAATCCACAGCGTGACTACATACAGTGCCGAGTACCAGCCTGCTTAGTTGGATTTATTACCAGGAATTGGGAATGGCTAAATAAAACCTACTGATAAGAGTTAGAGAGGAACAAATGCAAACAACTTGACATAACAACTGGGATTTTGATGATGCAATAGTTGAGAATCGGTGGGTCATTGACGAGGAATCAGAAAGTATAAACATGTTTGATGTTCACAATAGGTCAGATTATCCTCACAGCTTTGGGCAGTGGAACTGACTCCTATTTCTGTGGGTTTGGCAAGAAGTGCTAATGATGTAAGCCCTTTGATAGAGACTAATTAAGGGGGTTTAGGACTTGGTTAATATGTGCATTGTTTGTGTACAAATTGAGTTATCAATTTCACACAGTTTTGGCTATAAGTCCTGGTGCTAGAAAACATGTCAGAAACTCAGGATTATACAAAGACAAATATATAAAAAATGTACTGGACCATGTTGTTTCGGTGAAGGACATGGCTAGATCAGAGATACATTCATGTACCTTGCTTAGAAAAAATGATTTATGTCCAGAAAATGAGAATCTTGGAACTGTGTGGACTAAGAGAGCAATACTGATTAAATTGATGTTCGACCCAAATCCTGATAATAAACTATGCATGGTCCAGTGAACCATATGATATATTGTACCCTTAACTGAGTATACTATATTTTGTTCATATTGTAAGGTAAATGCGACCTTCTGTAAGTGTATACACTGACCATGTGCTGCAGTACGTGTTTATGCTGTCTTGTGTTTACAATCTAGCAGTAGTTAGTTCATCTAAGGTCATATTGTCCTTATTGGGAAAGGGGACAATTTCAAATTCTTCAGAATTTGTCTCACTTCAGTTATTTTACTAAAAATTCTAACCAAATATTAGGTTATCACAATATGTAAGCAAATGAAACTGAAGACATTTTTTAGGAAGTTCTATTTCTCATTTTTCCTGAAACGTTTGATTTTAATGAAAAAAAATGTCTGAGCTCTTACTGCAGCTAAAAACCAGACATTTTCAAATTTAGGCTCCGCCTCCTTCCTTTAATAGTCTGGGCCCTGGTTTAAAATGGTGCGACACGTTTAGTATTCATGTACATAGTTTGTGTATAAAGCAAAACTCTGATTCACATTAAAACCAAACTGATGAATCGTATTGAAGAAAAACTGCTGCACACATTTGATGTATCTGAATGTATTTAAAAAAGGCTTATTGAAGTATCTTTTGTTCTCTTCCAGGTAGCAAAAAAACCTCCAAAGTGCTCCAGCAACTTGAAGTACCAGTGGTGACAAACACTCAGTGCCAGGCCGCCATCGACCCTGCACTCAGCATGACGGTCACAGACGATATGATTTGTACCTCTTCGGAACCCAATGGACCTTGTGGCGTAAGTCTCCGTATTCTATTTAGTGTGATGGAATGCCTAAGTCTACATGTAAAAGAACATTGAGTATGTTATGTTGGTGGGGTGGAATTGTAGATCAGGTTAAAGTCTGATTACAAGGGGGAAACGTATGCTGTAGTTCAGTTCTTTGTATTTCTAGTGTTTATTTTATATAATTTGTCTTTATGCATTGGGGCGAAACGTCTATTATAGAAGTCTAAATGTATCGCAATGAAATGTCTTTTATTTTAGTTTTAATGTATGGAAAACAAAAGTCATATATTAAATTTGGATGAAATGGCGTCGAAACTTCTTTTATTAGTCTGAATATTGCAGAATATTGTAAATTTGTAATAAACAGAAGAGCGAAATGTGTTTTGTATACAAAGGTAGTTCTAGAGTACCGGAATGATATTTTCCTTATCTAATATATAGACGGAGAGACTCCTCTTATATTTTAAATACTAATGCTATTATTTGGTTTTGCAAGTAATTCCGATACCTTATACTTCCAATAAACATAGATTGATATACAATTACATAACAGCGAAATTTTGTAACCTAAGCCCAAATTTCATGAAGATGAAGAACATTTTTTTCTCACAAATGTCCGTCCTTTTCAGCAGCTCTTAGACGGATGGTTAACTTTTGTTTGCAGCATCCTGGTTTAAATGTAGACCTAACTCTTGTTATTTATATGATACCCTAATGACTTTGTAGCATTATGATCAATAGTTCCAAAACAAACGAATTTTTAAAAGTGTATTTGATTACATTTCGGAATCTGAAAGATTTTAGAACCCCCACCCTACACCTCCCTAGTAAATTTAGTATGAGGATGTGTGTGTGTGTGTGTGTGATTGTGTGTGTGTGTTTGTGTGTTTGAGTGTGTGTGTGTGTGTGTGTGTGTGTGTGTGTGTGATTTTGTGTTTGTTAACCTCGTAACATAATTAAAGAAATATGTTAGAAGTATAATTTCTTAGTGTTTGCTAACATGTATTTTCAGGGTGATAACGGCGGTCCTCTGCAGTGCTCTGTAAACGGAGTCTGGCTACACGCGGGAACCGTCTCAATGAAAAAAGGCAAATGCAACAATGGACCCTCCCTATATAGCAGGACTTCCTTCTTTAGGGATTGGATAATTACTAATAGGAAGATAACCAATTAGTGACGACGTTACAGAAGAAATATAAATGATATATGGAACATCCAGTTGGACCACAGCCCACATCGACTACCGCATATACTATTGTATTTCAACAAAACATTATCAAATAAAGCAAATTACAAGTTAATTATCCTGCAGATAAAAGCGAATTGTGGTTTGTTTTTAGTATTAACTGATGTCATAGGCAAATTATGTTGAGACATGAGTATCGCCTACATTTTTACCATCTACAGGTAGTTAAATACACTCGGAATCATGGGTTATCAGTATGTCAAATATTCTAGAATAAGTTGAAAATTGAGCTGGGATTTGAGAACAATTTAGAGACTAACTTGGGAATGGATTTTCCTTTTTTAGAAAGGATTTTCCCAAAAAGTGATGTCCTGAAGTGCCGACATACAAGTGATCCGCGTAAGAAAATAGTGCGTCATAAGCAAATTGTCATAAAGTTATAAAATGTTATGATAACATCACCATTTAAAGCGTAGATGTGCATATGTATAACCCAATGACGATAATGTTGTTTAGGAAACATCTCTCTACATAGTTTAAGGTTGACGGTATTCCTCCGAGGACATTTTCTCTCTATTAACATTGATAGACCGAGGATCACGATGCACTAGACTCAATGTGTAGAAGTGTTTTTGGAGTTGATGGTATTTAGTTGATGTTTTCTGAATGGAGAAAACTATATAAGGTAGTGGGATAAAAAAAAACCAGTTTATTAAACAATGTTTTCGGGGTTTTCGTATATTGAATCATTGCTTGCACGTGGATAAAATGTTGAGTCCACCTGCGGTGGCCTCTAGATTTTTCCGCTTGCTCTTGATGTGAAAATTGGTCTTACGACAAACCAAAAAAACAAAGTGTGATGATTTATAAATCAATTAACCTTTTTTTTCGGATTGTATTACACAAGGTATATTCTTAAGTGTGGAAGCAAATTAAGAGCATCATTTAAAAAGTAATCAAGTGTTCAAGTGGTTATTGTAACGGGGACCCAGACGAAGCCGGAAAACCTATGTAGTCGCAAATTGTATGTCGTGAACGATGGCAGAATAAAAAAAAAAATCACAATGAGCGAAGGAATAATATGATAAAACAGAAAGGACCAATAACATCACTTTCGAGTATATCGATTTAAATCTCCTTCATACATTAACAAATCAGAGGCGGTGGTGGCAATGTTTGATGTCTGATTGGAAGAAAGCGTAGTGTACAACTACATAAGGTAATCAATCCTACCTTATATGATTAGTCCAGACAAATCTTTAGACGTTGGAACAATAACGATAATTGTTATTCTAAGAAATGGTCATTGTTAGGAGAACCCAGAAGACTCATGAACTTTCAAACACTCGTAAATAATGCGCCACAAAATATTGTGGAAGAAAATAAACTATAATTGGAAAAATAGCAGAAGATTTATTGCTAAACATGAGTGTACTTCATTTTCAACCGTCATATGTCTCAGCCAATGAGAGGCAACGACGGCCATTTTTTGGTTCGATCGGAAGTTATGTAGCATCGCGCATGAATAGCGACCCCGAAACTAGGTCAGTGTCAATGATTTTGACAGACCCTATAACTCTTCATCCAAGCATGCCATAGGCCGAAATGAATGAACTTGAAATCAAAGACATTTAATATTTTACAACTTAAGCCCCAATCCACTCTCTTTACTAACATCATGACAAACAAGGAAGGCTTACCACTAGGCTGTATGATGAACAAATCGATATAAATTTTCCTATCGTGAATTTTCTCCATCTAAATAGGTATATCCCTGCCTCCTAACACTGCGGTGTTTACATGTTGCTGTTGATTAGGTATACAACAACTCGCTCCGAATATCGTGATTTCCTTGATGAATGTCACCTGCTTTGAACAATAATATTAAACAGGATTTCCAAAGATGTCATTTCATGAAGACTATGGGCAAGATCTATCATCGGCACTAATTTCTCATTGAAAATAAGCTAATGGGTTGTGTTATATTTATTTATAGGTCGATTTTCTTTAATTTGCTCTTTTAGCATTGTTGCTTTAATTTAACTTCCTAATTTCTCGCTTTGAGGAGTTCACAACACTTTGACAAATATTAACATGGCGGCTATCGTCGATGAAGCATAATACGCTTACCCTTCCTGAACATCTGGTCTTATGCTCCGTGTACGTTTTCGATGATATTTTTGTTAATTTTTCCATCCCAGACCATTTTTTACTCCAACTGGGTTGTTTGAGTTGTGTGGGCAGGAGGAAAACACTGTTTTCTGAATATCCATGAGAACGAAGACTTCGGGGATCGAACCCCGTTCGCCTGCGTGGAAGGCGGGAATTTATACCACTCGACCGATCCGCCCATAACTACACAGGTCAATCAACACTGCATTCTAAAAATGTGATTTTGTACAGACATGTATGTCATGATATTGGATATCATAACTTAGCTGCAGGGTACACACTTCCGCAAACAATAGTCGGAGATGATTGTGAACTTTTCACTTCTCTGCGATAAGAATTCTAAAGAGTGTTGATTAGACAATTAAAGACATTCATTCACTCACNTAATTTGCAGGAGCTGCCTGATCAGTCGCTAACTACTAGTCCTATGCCACCTGGTTAACATCTCCCTATGTGTGTTTGCCTGGCTGTGTGCTAGAGATGTTATGAGTTCTGTTTGTAGTGGGACCGTGCTTCCAACGGCATCATTTATATTGCCACCTCACCTGAATGCTACAGCACAGATACCACAACATCCATCCCAGAACAATTTTTACTCCACCTGGGCTGTTGGAGTTGTGTTCTGTTTTCTGAATATCCATGCGTACGCCGACTTCGGGGATCGAACCCCGGCCGCCTGCGTGGAAGGCCGGAGTATATACCACTCGACCAATCCGCCCATAACTACACAGGTCAATCAACACTGCATTCTAGAATTGTGATTTTGTTCAGACATGTATGTCATGATATTGGATATCACAACTTAGCTGCAGGGTGCACACTTCCGCAAACAATAATCGGAGATGATTGTGAACTTTTCACTTCTCTGCGATAAGAGTTCTAAAGAGTGTTGATTAGACAATTAAAGACATTCATTCACTCACGTCCAGAATATAGATCAGCGTGCCCAAGGCAAAGATGAATTGATATGAGAGTTAATTAACCCATATCTTACTCAAACCGGCTGGCCAAAAGTAGTAGGTACATTAACCATGACTTTAGCAATCTGTGGTGACGTGGCGAGCAAGGAGCTCAATCAAGGCGGTTAGAACTATTAGCTTCTGCCATTTTTTCCATTGGTAGCCTTTTTCGTATTTATAGAAATGATAATATAATTCAATAAATATTTACACAAAATCATATTACTCTCAAATGCCTTGATGCAGGCAACATTTATCTACCATTAGAACAAACAGGACCAATCTCTTTTCTGCAAAGTTATCTACAATGCAAACGGAGATACCCCAACCTCCGTCCAGTCTCNATTGATGTCGTTTTGCATGTGGATACCTTAAAAGATGCCCAGTTGTGGTATAGGTGTGAAAAAGCGGCATAAGACCTATAACAATATGCCGTGGCCTGTAGAAAACGAAAAATTAACGATTNCGAAATGATGCCCAGTGGGCATCTTTAGCCTGGGGTATCGTTGATGCCGTTTTGCATGTGGATACCTTAGAAGATGCCCAGTTGTGGTATAGGTGTGAAAAAGCGGCATAAGAACTGTTATGTTAGATACATTTGAATATCAAACTAGCCCAATATTGCGCCAGCCCAACATTGGTCCGGTCCGATATTGGGCTAGCCCAATATTGAATAAGTAACCAACTTCACGCTGGTTACAGCTGACGCTTGTAAGGCAACCTAATAAATACACATCTTTTACACTTTTCCCCCCTTTTTCAATCACCAACCCAGGTTATTTGTCTCCCCGCCAAAGGTTCTCCTACCTTGAACGGATAGAGTCAACGACACCATTTTGTAGTAGGACGAAGAATGTGATAAAGATAGTGACGTCGCTGGGACTCGAACCTGCGACCATTGGCTCTCCAGCCCGATGCACTACATCTGAGCTAAAAGGAAATTTCCCAAAGCTGACGCGTGGAAGGCAGTCTAATCAATGCACATCTTTTTCAAATGCATTGTGCAAAGCGTCTTTAATTCAAGGTGCATGTGTTTGTCAAACCTACCAACTCACGCGCTCTCTATATATCTGACACTGGCAATCTTGTAATAACGTAACGTCGGGACTTGGACCCACAGTCTTCAGCAGGAATTCCCACCACTGGGACTAGTTAACTTATAGAAAACAATTACAGTATGACAAAAATAAAATATATCATTTATTTACTAACTAAATCCCATGTTCCATGATTAAGCATTTAGGACCATTGCAATCTGATTACAATCATATGTTACATGGCTTCGTTAACTTCGTACTACGCCTGAACATCTGAGTGTGCCGCGGTCAGGGTCACGTTCAGGTTGATGAGAATGATGCGAAAGTTCTGAAATTATTTGAGATTGATCGTCTGAAACCCGAACAGAAAAAAAATTCGAAGCTTTATTAGAGAAGAAAGACTGTATGGTGGTGTTGCCTACGCAATGATTACCCAATGGCGGAGCCATGTAACAGATCATTTTAATCACATTGGGACCATTGTCTACATCGGCTACCTTTCGTCGTGCTATCGTATTTGCTATACCACGTTTTCAAATAATCAAAATCACCGGTAAAGCATTCCAAATACTTTGTATACCTGACATCTTTCATATTTTTATTTTTTTAAAGTTTTGCGCAATTCCTATATATCTCGGGTTTATCATACAAAGTTTGTTGGGATGTCTAGCAGCAGGTTAAAAGCAAAACTAAAATAATTCTGTTATATCAAAATTAATAGAAACAGTTGTAATTCGAACCCCGAAATAGTGTAACACAGTCGATGTTACGATGTTGCGTCAGAGGTTAAAAATAGCCCGAGGAAGGACAGGACAGAAAGTTAAGACCAACGAATGCGTAACTGAGCTGGTTTATGATGGTGTAGTCGTATAGGCATAGATGGTGACGTATAGCTAAAGTAATCCATGATTATAAATCTGATGTGTTTATGTTCCCACTGACTATCTAAGCATGTTTGACGGCG